GATAAATGTTTGAGTTGATAAATGTTTGAATTATTGATAAATGTTCAAGGATGTTTAAGTGATCCTTAAAAAGTCATGCCTAACATATTATGTTTGAATTATTGATAAATGTTCAAGGATGTTTAAGTGATCCTTAAAAAGTCATGCCTAACATATTATGTTTGAATTATTGATAAATGTTCAAGGATGTTTAAGTGATCCTTAAAAAGTCATGCCTAACATATTATGTTTCCATCTAATTTTTAATTAAAAATAGGTGAAAATTATTTAGGTATATTTGATAGGAAGATTTTAATTTCTTTAGGAAAATAGACAGAATTATGAATCATGCCTATGAAAAAATTACAGAAAGCTTATATCTAGTCCAACACTTATCAATGGATGGTTTGGCAAAGAATTTCCCTTTTAAACTCATCATTAAGGCAGCACATTTTATACTGCAATAAAATAAAATAATAAAGTGTGAGAAATATATGAGTGGCCACCAAGAATCGAAAAGATATTTAAGAATGGAAGAGATGATTTTGCACACACATATATTTTTCTCTAATATTATTTTTTACATGTGCTTCCTTACAGTTATGTCATAATTTAAAAACATGGAGAATCAAACCACTGTGTCCTATTTTCTATGCATGGAATTCTCAAACCAATGTGATCTGCGACTCCTACATTTCTTCTTATTCTTCATATTATACTTGGCAACAGCAATAGCTAATCTTCTCATCATCATTGCAGTGGCTTTTGACCATCGCCTGCACAGCCCCATGTACTTCTTTCTCATGAACTTGGTTATGCAGGACGGGTATTGTTTCAGTCATTGTTCCCAAATCCATGATAATTCTCTCATTGGCTGTGTTGCTCAAATCTTTTTCTTTTTCTCCCTTGAAGCTTTTGATTTCTCCCTCCTGACAATCATGGAATATGATCAGTATGTAGCTATTTGTCATTCACTGCATTATGAGATAGTAATGAATTGGAAAGTCTGCACTAAAATAATGGTTCTGATGGGGGTTACAAGTCTTCTCTATGGAATGTTGCACACCACTGGAACTTTTTCCACCCTTTTCTGTTCTAATGTTATCAACCATTTTTTTCTGTGAACTTCCATACTTGTTAAAGCTATCTTGCTTTGGTTTCAATCTAGTTGAATTTGGATTCTTGATTATTAGTATCATTGCAGGATTTGATTGCTCTACTTTTATTAATGTCTCCTATATCATGATGTTCAAAGCAGCGTTCAGAATCCCTTCTGTGAAAGGAAGACAGAAGGCTCTTTCCACTTGTCTTCCCCCATCTTATAATTGTTTGTATTTTTTTAGTAACTTCATGCTTGGTATACCTAAGATCTCCTTCTAACATCCCAAATTACTTAGATTTAATATTAACCATACCATATTCCTTACTTCCACCACTATTCAATTCAATCATCTATAGCATGAGAAATGAGGAAATCAAATCTGTCTTGTCTAAACTGTGGAGAGTCTGACATTTTCTTTTTTATTGAATTCTTCTGCATTGAACCATCTGCGTCATTTTCCTTTAACTTTATCAGGAAGAAAAAGCAATTGCAAAGTGAAACTCATCTGAGATACAGATAGAACAGGGGTGTCAACTCACCTTGCCACAGTAGCGTCATGTGATATATCGGGACTTTTTTTCCTCTTCACTAAATTGGGTGTGATCAGCATGTGATGCATCTGGCTCACAGACTGGGAGTTTGACAGCCCTGAGATAGAGCTTATCATGTCCTTTCAGATTAATTGTCCAGGTCAGCAGTGGAGGTGGTAGTAAATTACAATTCCATACTGAGTCATTGCTATTTCAATTAAGCAGAAGTCAGAAAGATATGTCCAATTAATTATTTTACCATTGAAATATATATTTACTGTATACTATAGAAAGGGTTAGTTTAAAGGGGCACATGGGTGTGTTGACCTGTCTAAGCTTCCTTTAATAACATTAATTTGGCCCAGTTTAGTTCTGATATAGGTGTTGTTAACATTTCTGCAAAACTTAAAATAAAGAGTAATGTACTATATTTTTCAGAGTATAAGATGCACCTTTTTCCCTCAAAAAAGAGGCTGAAAACCTAGGTGAGTTTTATACACTGAATATAGCATTTTTTTTGCCTCTAGAAACCCCACCCACTTCACCAAAATGGCCGTGCATAGCTTCTAGGAGTTTTTCAGAGAGCTCATGGGGGCTGGGGAAGGTTGAAATGAGTGGAAATGAGCTGGTTTTTGCTCAATTTTGCTCCCCACCCCCAGGCTCCAGGAGTACTTTTAAGCCTCCTAAAGACTATGCATGCAATTTCTTTTACAAAAATGGGCCCGTTTTTGCAAACAATGGCCCCATTTTTTGCTTGTTTTTGGTGCCCTCACCCCCAGGTGTACTATGCAAGCTCCCCAAAGGCCACTCATGCCTCTTTTTGGGAAAAAAATCAGCCTGTTTTTGCAAAAAAAAAAGAGGGGGGGATTTTTGGGAGGTTTGCAGAGTGCAAAAACTTTTTAAAAAAATTTGCCTCTTCAAAACCTTGGTGCGTCTTATACTCTGGTGCATCTTATACTTGAAAAATGCAGTATTTAAATTTATTTCTGAACAGTTCGTTCCATTTAAGCACCACTCTGGTCTTGATATCATTGCTGTGTCCCAGCTAGGTTGGCAAATAGATTATATGGATCTTTTCTAGCCAGACCTGGTGACAGCTCTGAGAAAGATTAAAATAAGATGCCTGATTACCTCAGGTTACCCTATTTGGACTTTCATCATTCCAACACTCTTCCTTATATATATTATATCTACTCTACACCATTGATGCTGACACAAAAAATAGTCATTGTGGTTTTGGAATGAGGTCTGTTATTGCTGATTGCCACTAAATGACTACTTTGCCTTTGAGAGTTTGTGGGAGCAACGTAGTGGAGAGCTGGCCATTGGTTAAATTGGGGCATGAAGATGAAGAGGTGTCATGGCTCAATAAGGAGGAGATCAGAATAGTGGTTCTATTAGATTATTTGCCTAGCAACAGAATAAACATTCCAAACAGTGACAATTGGCTGCAGCAACAGTACAAAGAGTGAAAGTTCACTGCAGTCTACATAAGGGGCTTGGTTATCTCTGTCTTCTTTGCTGGAAACAACGTCTGGCTCTGGATCTGGATCTCCATGTATGTATTTCACTCTTGAATCCTAGACCCTTGTGCTGGCATACAATCTTGATCCAATTCTTGAACTTTGAACCAGCTTTAGACAATTATTTTTCACACTCTTTTAAAAAAAAATAGTTCACAGGAAATACTTTTCTTTAATTGACAGTCCTTGCTAACTCTGTTACATGGAAACAAAATTGATAGTCTCTCAATAAACCATGCCTGTGTGAGAAAATTAAACCTGAAAGAGACAATAGATGAAAAGTTACCTAATTCCTTATTTTATTTATCACATTTTCTTTTTCACTGCAGTCAAAATACTGTTATGCCATTACATGATATATAAAGCTGATTAATCGCTCACAATATATAATTTCCTAAAAACACACCATACAGACCTAAAAAAAGTATAAGTAATTAAAACAAAAGTTAATGATGATATAAAATGCAAACAAGCAGGGCATTCTTCCAATCTTGATTCCATCTGGTTCTTTATAAAAAGCAAATTCAATAACATGTCATTTTCTATCCATATTTTCCATGTTAATGAAACCCATTTTTTTAGTACTGATACACTGATTGGCAATCATGTGACCTGCTCTGATGTCCAAATATGTCTTCTAGGTATATGCCTCAGTATGCTAGATGCCAATTAGGTAACAAAATCATTTAAGTTATGGTTTATTTAAATGTTTCAAATTCAATTTTGAGGAAGGAACTCAGAACAAAGACTTGCATTTATTTTTATAGTTTGTATAACAAAGGAACTTCAAAGTAAAAGTTGATTGACTTAGGAAAAAATCATGTCCAGTCACATGATGAAAAATTAGACATTCAATAATATGGAAAGAGCATTATATTCTGAACAAAAGTAAAAGAAACATTTGCAAGGTAAAAACCTAAGATACATTCTCAGCACTATCCCAGTGCTGGGGTCAAATGCTTTGTGGAGACTTTGGAACCGTTGGAAACAAAAGTATTTTATTTATAATGTTTTAAGAACTGTGGTTACTAAGAGAAAGGCTTTTTAAGTTCTTTTTATTAGGTTAGTCTTATGGTCAACTAATAACATATTTTTTAAAAAATAGGGGGGTAAAAAAATAAGACAGATTAAAATAGAAGAAAAAACTATCTTAGTTAGCCAGTACAACAATACTACAAAACCCACATTGCAAATATTACAAAGTCCATTCTATGTGGCCTTTAAGCTCCAGACTAAATTTGGCTGGATTCTTGACTCAGTGATTTCTTCTCCAAACCCTACAACTTTAACCTTAGACTTACTGTTAACCTCACTCACCACCACCCCCAGAAGTCTGTAGGGAGCATGCATAAGCACACCAACATGCCTACCATCCTTGCCCTAACAACTCCATTTATTCATATCTATTTCATGTATTCATAGTCTTGTATATATTTGTATCTATTATCTTATACACACTTGACAAAAGAAATAAAATAAATTTAAAAAATAAAGCTAGCCAGAAATGCAGATTGCAAAAACAGTTCTTATTTATACAAAGATACTCCTTGGTGCTAAAAATAGGCTGCCAGTGGGTTAGTGCCAGTTATGTCAGTGTGATAAAGGGCTGAGATATAGTAGAAATCATATACTAGTAGTAATATTATCAGAACCACAAATTCTTCATAGATAGTTCAGGACTTAATCAAAGCAATAGTAATATGGTTTTTTATGATTTATCAGGTCTGTCTGCTTTTGTTGATTACCCTATGTGCCATTGTCCTTAAATATAATCATTCATATTTTAGTTCCTAATTATAGTACCACAATGTTTTCAGGATGTTATAGTAAACTATCACCAATCAAAACAATTTATTTACCACATTTCAAGATCTCAACAGAATTGGTGATGGTAAGAGGCCCAATATTATAAAACATTTGACAAAGGCACCCGATCAAAATGTATAACGTTAACAAACAATATACATTTGATGGAACATGTCTAGTCAGCTATCCTAATCTGATTGGAATTTCTAATAACCTGACTTTAAAAAATTAAGGTAAGGAACAAATTTATATAGCAAAAGGAAATTATCATTTTTTGCCAAATAATCACCAACGCAACTACTTCCAAAAGGCAATTTTGGTATCTTTATTCCTCATGCTGTAGATTATTGGATTCATTAGTGAAGGCACAACAGTATATAGTGCAGTAAATACTTGGTTCATTTCAGATGAAGAATTAGTTGGCAATATCAGGTGAGCAAAGATAGAATTGCTAACTAATAGAGAAACAACAATAAGGTGAGGGATGCAAGCGCAGAAGGCCTTTTCCCTTCTTTCAATTGAGGGCATTTTCAGCACAGTGGTAAAAATCTGCACATAGATCAAGATGATGAATGAGAGACAGCCCACTTCTAAGCATGAACTAAAGACAAGAACCCAGGTTTCATTCAGATAAGAACCAGGACAAAAAAAGCTTCATTAACTGTGGAGCTTCACAAAAGAACTGATTGATGATGTTGGAGCTGAAAGGCATTGAAAAAATATTCCGTGTGTATAGAGCTGCATGCAGAAATCCAACCAGCCATGCCCCACCAGCCATTTGTAGGCAAGTAGACCATTTCATTATGGATGCAAAGTGCAAGGGGTGACAGATGACAATGTATCTGTCATAAGACATGACAGTGAGAAGGAATAAATATGATGAGAAGAAAAAGAAATAGAAAAACAATCATTTATTATTTATTTATTTATTAGACACATTTATATGCTGCCCAATTCCGAAGGACTGCGGGCGGCTTACAAAAATAAAGAGAAAAAACACATAACGAAACACATAACGAAAGAAACAGTTTAAAAACAGCAACACCTCATACATTCATTCTAATCGGGGCTGAACCTCAACAGTGAGGTCAACAGCCCCAGGCCTGCCAGAACAGCCAAGTTTTTACAGCTATCCTGAAGGCCATGAGAGTGGGTATGGTCTGGATCTCCAGGGGTAGCTGATTCCAGAGAGTCGGAGCAGCCACAGAGAAGGCTCTCCTCCGGGGGCCCACCAGCTGACACTGTCTGGCTGACGGCATCTGAAGGAGGCCCAATCTGTGGGATCTTACTGGCCGCTGGAAGGTATGTGGCAGCAGGCGGTCTCGAAGGTACTCTGGCCCTAAATCATGTAGGGCTTTAAAGGTGATAACCAACACCTGGAATTGTGTCCAGAGACCAATTGGTAGACACTGCAGCTTGCGGAGGACAGGTGTAACGTGGGTCTATCTCGGTGCACCCAATATCACCCATGCGGCTGCATTCTGAACTAACTGCAGTCTCCGAACGCTTTTCAAGGGTAGCCCCATGTAGAGCGCATTGCAATAATCCAGCCTCAAGGTGACAAGGGCATGAGTGACCGTTTGAAGTGCCTCCCGATCCAAATAAGGCCGCAATTGTGTCACACATTCAGAATATGATATCCATTTGGAGTTCATGAAGGCATTAACTATATATTTGGCTATAATAGAAGATGTCCCACCAAGGTCACCAAAGATAAATTGATTAGAAAGAAATACATTGGTGTGCACAGAAAATGATTGAACAGAATCAGCAAAATAATCAAAAGTTTTCCTACCAGTATAAAAAGATACATTAACAAGAAGATATTACTGTGTATAATTTGAACCACTTGATTTCCAGAAAATCCAATGAGCATAAAATCCAATATGCTTGTCGTATTGGACATGACATTATGCCATTCCCTGTAGGAAGATGAAATTTAAATTATATACAGATTTCTTTCACATTCAAAAAAATACTTTTTCTTCTAAGAGTAACAATGCTTTTATAACTGCGTAACAGCTTTTTGTTCTATCTGTATTTTTGATATGCTTACTATAAGTGCTTTGGAAAGACCTAGCTATCAGAAACAGCTTATACTAAACTGAAATGTATGTAATTATAATTTTCATATAATTTAAAATTCTAATAATACTATTAAATGTAAGTTGTAATAACTATATACAACATAATTATATGGACCCACACTAATATTACCTTTTATTTCTCTACTATGTGTGAACATCTTTTTTTTCATCCTGTCTCCAATCTTGCCTTTCCTAGGGAAACCTCCAATGATCAATAATTTGTTGTTTTTTAAAAGGTACTCATTGTCATTCTCATTATAAATCCTTCTTTTTTCCAGTATCATAATATTTTTAAGGTGAAAACCATAAATTATAAATATTTATATTTGTAATACAGAGAAGTATTGGGCAAATATGCACTTGAATATTCACCATATGAGTGTGGGAATGCTACAATGGTTGTAAATGTAAGAAATGATTGAAAGTCACTTTTTTTCAGTGCCGTTGTTACTTTAAATGGTCACTAAATCAATAGATGTAAGTCAAGGATTATCTGTGTTCTGTATAATTATAACCCATATTCTGAAAGTTTACTCAAAGTCTATTGTTTTACCTAACACATAAAAAGTTGTGAATTTTCCAAGGAAACTTTTTAAATTGCTATTTTTTACTTTGCTTAAGCTATTTAGTTTAAACTATTTAGTTTTTTTTAAAGGGGATAAATCTAGGTGTGCATTATGGTCATTTGAAATACAGCAATGTAGTCTGACATCCAAGTTTATTTCATTGCTGGTTTATTTTAATCTTTAGATAATAAACTTAATATAGAAGTGGAACCTGGCCTGATGACTGTGCTGCTTAAGTTTGGATGGTACAATGCATTTATTTTTTATTTTAGACAATCATTAAATGTTGTACCTTATGATTCTTGACTAATGTATTGTCCACAAACCTAGGTTCCTGCTTGGTGTCAAAGCCAATAAGTCACTGGACAGAAGTGTGATACAGAATTATATTTTTATTTTGGTACCAAGATATAAGTATCCTGTTTAAAAATTTAACTAAGGGCCAAGATTAGAATCTTACAGCAGTTTTTATAGTCAAGGGATGGTAGCATGCAATCCTTTTCCCTTCCCCTAACAATGCATGTGTCAGCGTTCCAAATATCATGCAGAATTAAATCAGAGTTTAAGGCAGAGCTATCCTTAAAATTCCAATTTAATAAGATGTTGGCATTATGCTATGGAATCCCAATACTGAAAATGACATCGGAATTCCACCCAGTTAAAAGTTCATGATCTTGTCCCCACACCCATAATCCATCACATGGTCCAATCTTCTTCTTCCACGCTGGCATCCACACCCAGCTTCTTCCAGTCAGGTGTACTGGTGCGGAGACAAAGGATGACCTTGGCTTCTAGTAAAGAATGAAAACAATACATTCCACAATCTCACTCCTGTCTATTCCCCCTCCCATCAACTATACTAAAGTAACAGCATAATGAAATAAGAGAAAGTATGGCAGGCCAAAATTCTAAAAGGAATATAATTGCATGCCTGACAGCATGCATAACACATAATATTGATGGGTTATTTGGATTTTAACCCCCATCCACCCACCCTTACGCTTGTTATGTTAAATAGCTAAATGTCATGTCAGCTGTTTTTCATCCCAGGTCACAGATATCTTACAAAGTGTGCTAGCTATGTGGGTTTTGGGGGTTTTCTTATAAGGGAGCTATTCTTGTTCCTAATAGCCTGGCTAGTAGTTTTAAGGTGCTAACTTCTGTCTCACTGCTAATGTGCAGACACCCCCACCCCATTCCTATACAAGAACAAACTCTTTTTATCTTAGGCAGCAACCCCGTGACACCCTCCTTCTGCAGAAAAAAAGTAAAAGCAGTTTAAAACTTTTGTCTGAGGAAACCCTCCCCACCACTCCCCCGCCTTCTTCTGCAGTGAAGAAATGAAGACAAGAGAAAATGTTTTATCAGAATTCATATTCCTCACTCTCATGTCCATTCCATCCATACCTGGGTCCTATCTCCACATGTGAGCCTTCCTCTGATCCACAGGACCTCACCTGTGCATACATTCCATCATCTGATCCTTCAAATGTATCTTGTCTTTTTATGAACACTGAGAGTATATGCACCAAAGATAAATTCTTTGTGTGTCCAATGGTTCCACCACAAATCCGCGAAGCCCTTCGCGTCGTTCTAAGCGCTAAGGAAAAACGCGACCCTACCACGATGACATAATCGTGGAGGGCAAAATCGCGCATTCCCAAGCACTCACTACCCTAAACCTAACCCTAAACCTAACCGTAACCCTAAACCTAACCCTAAACCTAACGCTAAACCTAACGCTAAACCTAACCCTAACCCTAACCCTAACCCTAACCCTAACCCTAACCCTAACCCTAACCCTAAACCTAACCCTAAACCTAACCCTAAACCTAACC